TTAGTTTTTGAAACACTGTGGCATATTTTCATAAACCTGCACACGAGTAGGCCAAATTGGGATAGATGCCAAGGTAAAATAAAGAAAATTAGCCCACGTGATAACTATCCGAGAGACAATGGATTGTGATATGCAAAAAACATCACTGAGATGGATCTCATCAAAGCCCTGTCTCAGACGACACAAAAATAAAAACAGTTCATCAGCCAGTGGAAGCAATCGCTTCTTACAATGGTGGTCTAAAAAATCGCTACTTCCATTATAAACTTCTTCGCTTACAGCAGACCATAGTGTTAAAGAGTTAGTACAGTCCAACAATATGTGGAAAAAGTCAATCAATAAACAATAGGAACTAAAGCCAGTATAATATTTAATCATGGGGCTTGACGCCTTGAAACGTTCCATACCGAATTTAGATATTGACAGCTTTGAAACTTGAGTTTTTAATAAATTCTCAATTTCTTTTAAAGCTTGCTTAAGTTTTTCTTCAGCTGTTTTCACTACAATGCAGTAGTTGTGATCCACTTGAGCAGGATTAATGTGATTAAAACTCAGACTGCTTGGTACAGTGGCATCATCAGTGGTTCTGAACAAATATAATAAAATTCATTAGCAAAGAAATCACATATTCATCCTGGGGAAAGGAAGGATGATAAGACGGCTCAATTATATGATGAACCAGATATCGGTGAAAAGTCATATTGTACCCAAATTACAGCTCCAAGTATTGAATCCTCTGCATTGCATGTATATGTGTAAATCAAAAACAAAATTGTATTTTTGTGCGTTTCAGTGTTGCTGAAAGTTTGTGTACTCACAAAAAGATTTGAGTCATTTTTTTCAAATGAGTTGAATCTGGACCAGGGTGGTGCAAACCCAGGCCCGCGGGTCACATGTGGCCTGCCGCTCCATTATCTGTGGCCCGCATCACATTCGGAGAGAATCAAAAAATCGCATTTTGTAATAAAATTATTCAGAAAAATATTTTTACATCTCTAATGGCACTGAATTGACTATTGTTATGGCTAGCTGTGAGGCAACTAGCAAAGTTGAATGATGTGCTTGGTAGTCTAAATTAGTATCTGGCTTTCTATCTTTTTCGTCTTCATATATGCTAACAATGTAGGCATCATAGAAAACTAAGAACCGAATACGGATTCTATTAGCCAGAGCAGGCTATGTCTTATAACTATGTGTTTGCACAATGAAAGTGTTTATTTTGTATTGCACTGTTTACCTATTCTTGGCACTATTGCGGCCCGCGAACAATGCAAAAATAATTTTGTGGCCCGCGGAGCCGACAATGTTGGACCACCCTGATATTCTCGACTTTTATAGTCTATATTTTTTCAAATTTGTTAATTTTAAATTTTGGTTTGATACTAGTATGGTGGTATAGTCTAATTTAAAAAATGATATATTCTGTTTTACCTCAGTCTATTTGGCAGTGGTCTCTCTGCAATTAACTTTGTCCAACTAAATTTTGATGGAACTGAGTTGTGGTGCAAACGGCGTCGACCAGAAGGCGTCTCATATATGTCTTCGGGTCTGATTCTGAATTGGTTGCCACAAACTCGCGTGCTTGGTGTAATCTGTTTTAATAAGTCAAAATAAACTAGCTGATACGAACTGAATAAATACCACCAACTAAAGTGAAGCTAGGCTTCAAGGAATTAATGTATGCCACCTAATAATAATATAGGTTATCAAGTTTAGCTTGATTTCCATAATCAGTACACCAGGAAGATATTGACAAAATAAACACTTATTAGTCTACAGAATCAGAAGAGCCCTAACTAAGATTTGAAAAGAGCAGAAGTTAAATTAATTTAATTAAGTGATTCAAGAATCTTGCTGCACACTAAGACTCACAGCAAGACTCTTAAATCACTTAGGATAGTTATTTTTACTCTTGCTACAGCATCCTTGCATTATATGCATACCGACCCGCCGGCACAAAAGCATAGAAGAAGGATAAGTAGTTAGTTTCGTAGAAACCAAATCATTAGTTAAATTAATTGTTGCTAAAACTGCAAAAGAAAGTCGTGGGCTGTGCTCACCTTATATACACTCACATATGGCCTACAACCACATAGATAATAGCCTAATACCTAAAGTAGAAGCGAGAAGAGAAAATCAGGGTCAAAACTAAAATTAAAACCAGAAGAAAAAAAATATTTGCCACAATATACTGACTTACTTGAAAATGTTTACCAGGATCGCGACGAATACTGTGAATCCACGCTCTCTTCATTTTTGGGGAAAGAGTGGAACGATAAGTCTGGTGAGTAACGGCTATCGCCATTACACAACGGTACGCAGCAATGCAATTTGGAACCACCAGACGCACGAGCCGCCATTGCAATCGAAAAGCCCAAACCAGTCCAACGTCGCGGGGAAGCAGAAGACAGTACTTTCCCGCGCATGCCCACATAAAAACAAAATGGCGACGCTCAGTGGCGATAATGAATACCCCCATTCCGAAATATTTTACGAGCCTACAATGAGTCACGTAGCAACAATAAACAAGTCAAATATCGTCACGCTAATAACCGAATTGCGTAAGTCAATTTTGGCGATTTTGAGTTTTTTATAAAATAGGGATTTATGTAATGCTACGCACCTGTCTGTTAACTCAGATTTTATTTTAAGAATTTCGAAACCCATAAAAATGGTGATTTAGTATGACATGCACATTTGTGCAATTGTTTCGTCATAATGAATTATCATTGGTACCGCAGGACTTTTGTGACGTCACAAAGACAAAATAACCTCGGCGAAGTATTTTCGAGTTTTTGCATCTCGGATTCTAGCTTAGCGCGTATTAACTTGAATTTTTACTACAGTATAGGAAGACGTGCACTTGTGATATTCACCGTCCGAGTCAAATTCACCTTGATTTGCTTTTATATTGGGTGCATTGCTGTTTAATTCTTTATATTTAATCTTAGCCATATTTCGGTGGGTGTACAGAACGTGTTATATTGATGAAATATATATTTTTAAACATAAAAAACAATGTAATTGAAACTGATTAACTATTTTGGAGATGAGACATTGTAGATACTGAAAATTACATTCGGTTTTAGAATGTTTAGTTTTCAGGACACATGTCCCCAAGTCATAGACACATTTCTGCCTAAGTCACAATGCGCCATTATGACGTCACTTAACTGCGTCATACAAATTAACTTAAATCCGGCTACGATCAAAAAATTGAACCATGACAAATTATTGACCCTCAATGGCATAACAATATCATTAGGAAGTTTTTTATCTTTTTCTCAAAACTGCTAAAAATGACTTACGCAATTCGGTTATTAGCGTGACGATATATATTAGGTTCAGTAAACGATGATTTCAAATTTGAACTGTTGCGGTAAAAATTTCCTCTTCTATTAATAACAATCAGTTCTCGATACCAGCGGTTACATAAAATATGTATGCTACTAAAAACGTCATTTATTGGCTTCAATGACCTCATGGTCATACAGAAATCAATTTTTCTCAAAAACATGCATCTCTGATTATTTGAACATATGAAAGCATATGGTAATGTTTATTTAGCTATTATCGAGACGCGTATGTCTTTATAATTTATTGTTACGGATTGGTTACCAAATACAACATTCTAGACCTATTATATTATGATTATATTTCTGTTTAAAAAAGTGGAAATTTATCAAAGACACGGGTTACCGCAATTGTTAACCGGAAAAAAACAATAAGTTATCTTATTGTTCACTGGAATGTAACAATTTATTAACCAATGAATTGGAAAATATCAGAAATTGATAACGCCATCAGTTCTTATTATGTTGATAATTATAATGAACCAATACACACTAATAACCCAATTCAAAGTTTTTGATCTGCGTAATTTTGCTGTATGACTTAATCATAACGGGAAAACACTCGAAGTATCGTAATGACTGTGAGTTATCTTCATTTTTTTGCACTGTGCTGAGATTTTATGTATTTTCGCTAAGAAACAAGTCTTGTAAAATGATTTTTAATCATGTACAAAAATTACAGTGAGTCGCATTCAAGTATCAATAAAAAAAATATCTCATATTCACGAAATTCGAGCGAAACCGTCACTAGGTTTCCTAAATATGATTGTATCCAAAATAACTGTTTAACTGTGTCTATGCAAGCAAGAAATGAACTATCAATATGTATTACAATGTTTTCGTTATGACTCGTTGAATACCCGAATTTTTCGATTGCGCGAGGTGAAATTTTTCAAAAAACGACAGATTTCGCTGGTTCGCTCTTCTGTTTGCTTTGTTTTTGTAGATTTGTTGAAATAATTTGTCACTTTGTCAACAAAATCATAACACGCAATGATGTAATGAATATTACGAAATTCTACTTTTATCTCGCTGTAACTATCATTCCATAATCCATTGCCACCACGACATTGTAGTGCAGACGGTCGTGGCAATGTATAAATCATATTTTTATAAAAATTAGAAGGGAGAAATATATGGAACAAGTGCAATAAACGAGACTTAAATAAACCGTGTAAAAAATCTTTGTAAATACTTGTCATATTTTTCTGATAAATCTGATTAGCATGACATAATGGGAATTGTAAATTTTCATTGTTTGTCTTGTATATGGATATAAATGAGAGTGTTGAAGATAAAACATTCACATTTGCTAATCAGATTGTTCTCGAATGTGATCATCACGGCGTCGTCTATTTTATTTTTTAGTTACTGAAAGAGTTACTCCTTTTTAATGATTTGAAAGTCGCTTCGAACAAGGAAAAATAGGCGCACAGATTTGAGAAACTGTAACGTTTGAATGTCCTATATTACCCTAATTGTTGCATGAAGAAGCCGTCTTAACGAATGCTTAGTCAAATAGGACATAATACCTCTGCAATGTTGAATCGGTATTGCGTGTGACTTTGTATTTTAGTTTGAAGGCTGGATTGTAATTGAAATTAATTTTTATAGCGATTACCATTTACGGTATACATGCCTACTTGCAGTGAAATTTAAAATTTCAACTCATATTATAAGAAGCAATTAGAAATAACAGAATGAAGTTGGTCTCGTGTTGTATTCTTGTACTCATTCCATTGCTGGTATATTCACAAGGTAAAGAAACAATACATATTTTTTGAATTTTTCCTCTACATTTATTCTTTTTATTGTCAGCATTTGTATTCCGAAATGAAATTATGATTTTGAATTGTAAACTTATTTTAACTTGTTTTAACCTCGTTTTTTGTTTTTGTTAAGAAATCAATCGCTGTCGAGATGGAAGTGGCTTGGCAAGACAAATGTTTCCCTTCACAAAGCCCATGACATGCGCTGAAGGAATATACTACACCTGCGAAGATGGTAAGAGTTTTTCATTATTCATTATCTACAATAAATGTTGCCGTTATTATCCAATGTCACATCTAAATCAGTTAACAATGTGTTGGCTATTGAACTTGCACTTTACATTTTCACAGGAGTTGAAATTCAACACATTTGCCCCGAACAAGGTCATGCGTTCAATTCAAAAACAGAAGCGTGCGAATCTGACATCGATGGGGCATGCAGTGCAGCAGGTAAATACCAAAAAATCAAAATCATGGATTGACATAACACTAGAAAATAATAATATGTTAATGCCCAAATCCTTATAATATTTCCATTCACCATGCGCTCGTCGATACGAAACTGCGCAATTATTGTATCACAAGATTATGATAAATATAATGATGAAAAAATGGAATATATGAAGACTATAAGTAACTAAACTCGAACTTCATAACAGAGCAAATAGATTGAAATAGTCAAACATTAACTTTTCTATTTATTACAATAGTTATTGGTGATGAAACCAGCATTACTGAAAATAAACAATTGTGTTTAATAAAACATTACAGCTGTCTGTCCCACAAATCATGTTGCTGGACCTCATCCTAATGGATACGAGTGCATGGAAGACGTAAGTGTAAAGCAATAGAATCAATAAAAACGATTTATTCATTCACTTTCATATATATGGCCATGGAAATGATATGTCATCTAATCAATGTCATCAATTGTTTCACTATATTTTGCCTTCGATCGACGATCAAAACAAAGTATTTTACAGCTTGGAGAGGCAGATATTAGCAACAAAAGTCGTACTACAGTGCGTAACCCTTAAATGACAGAACCCAGAATTTAGAACCTATTCTGAAAATAAGATAACTTTTGTGAATTACTAAACTATCTGTGCATAATCATACACAAACAGAAGTTCAAATATTAAATAAATTTTCTCGATTATTATAGATTATTTTCATTCGGTTAACATTGGATAACATATGAGTGCCAGATTAAATTACTGTTTTTATCTTTGTGATTCTACAGGTTGCGTTAGCGTTGAAATTTAGTGAGTTTACCTCCAATTATTATTCGGTGTCTATACCACATGAATGCCGTTTTATCAAATACGTTTTGTGTTTTAGTGTACTCGTGTTGGGATGTGCTGGGATAATCGAACGCAAAAATGTCTCTGTCAAGATAACTTGAGCTGCCCCAAACAACCTCTTCCAGAATCAAAATGTTCACAAAGTTCTCCGGCTGTTGTGCATTGCAATCCTGCTGCGTCACTTGAGGTTTATGCCGATATTTCGTCATGTAGTAACTTTTTTCTATGCATATTCGGAAGCCGATATCATTTTAATTGTGCCGAAGGTACGTGGAAATTATGATCTTGAGATGAAGCTTTTAATGACCTCGATAAATTCTGTTTGATATATATATATATACTACAGCTGATTTTTTTTAGGAATGTATTCGTATATGCTATATATCATATTGAAATTTAGTTAGTCAGTTGGAGATTTGGAATTTAAATTAAAAAATTAAATCACTTTTAGATTTTCGAAGCAAAAAGACTATAAACAAAATATATATATGGTTTGGAGATGTATATATTAGTCCTGGAAGAAAAACTTTGAGAGATAATAATGTATATCATATATCTACTTTTTACAGGCGAATATTTTAGCAAGAATGCTCCTTCGTATTGTGACGTCTCCTCGAACATTGCACCACCTTGCGGCACGCTTTACTACTGATTGTCAGCATCAAATACAGTTCCTAAATATTCAGCCACCCACAATATTTTTTGATTTCTTTCGTCATACATCAGAATCAATTCCGACTCACCAATGGAGTAGGGCTACAAATTACTCTTCGTTAATGCATAGCCGGGTCAGTTCAATATGTCGAGAAAACATGAACGCTATGCTGTTTTAAAATGTTGATTAATATATATGAGTTTTGTGTATTCATCTAATTATAAAAAAACTCCTATTTTTGTTTTCAATTCACTTATTAAATGTCTCATTTTACACCTATTGATCAGCTTTTTGCATTGGATAGTTTTCTGTTAAATGTTTTAAGAGCTTTCTAGTATGATACGTTTGGCAAAGAAGTTTACACGCTATAAAATTTTGCTAAAATAAAGAGTTAGTTAAAATAATGTAGTTCTTCTATATAAACCTGCTGATCAGGTGCGATTTGTTAGTTTTGTCGTTGCATATCCACAAACAAGCAAATAACAAGTAACTCGATACTGCGGCTCATAATCGATTCTGACGATGGTAAAGTGTAAATCGATCTTGTGGTGACTGTGTTCTTCAATGCCCAAATCAACAACAACCTCTACAATCGAGTTGTGCTATGGAAAGATAGTGTTAGCTATAAACCATCAATGAAATACCGATAAACAGCGATCAATGTTATGTCTATCATGCCGTCAGCTTACTTATTCTAAATGTCGAGCATACTATTGGTTTTGTTTCTGCCCTCTCCAACAGACTTACTGTACCTTTCATATGAATTTATTTTACTGCATTAAATCACATTTAGCAACGCAAGAAAAAGTGCTGCAAAGAACGCTAATCCTCCTCCCATCTTCATACCCATGCTTCCATTACCACCAGTACATGTCGCATCTAAAAGCATAGGCCATCATTTTTTTTCGCGATATTTCAAGTTTTATAAATAACATGCCATGGCTTAATTCGAGCAGTTTTCGCTAGAGAACAATTTTGACATAAAAGTCTCGTGTAATCAGCGCTTTTGGATAATTGTCGGCTTTATCACAATTGTTTCGTGCTATTAATGCAGAACATACCTACAGAAACACAAGCAAAACATATCCAAAACATAGGATAATCATAATATTTCTACCAATTATATGACACTGTAGAACTACCCAACGCACGTACCTTATGGCGTTATCGCAAAACTAGACTAGAATTGTGTCACCCGACAGGGCGTCAGTACTGGATATTTAAACAAGAATCCCGAAAACAATAACGTATATACAATGAAAATTACCTGGGTCGGCGTAGACAGTGAAGTTGATGAAATTTTCTGTGTTGCATTGATCTTAAATGTAAAAAATATGGCATTAAATGATTATTTTCATAATTATGATGATAATTGAAGATAAATAAGCTAAAGGAGTTGATTATAGGCTGTATAAATCAGTTCCAGATTTATCGATTCAAGATGTGATGTGGGTATAGTAAATAATAGTACATAATATGGCGTCAGTTTTCACCGGAGGCAAATTTTGGCACAAAATTTACACTTTTCTCTATACTACAAAAATAATCTATCAATTTCCTTTCAATACATCATCAAATGTGTTCGTTAAGCATGGGGCAGATTGTATATTTGTTAGGATTGCCATGTCCATAAATATCAGCATGCTCCAACTAAAGAATTGGCAGCAATGAAAACTTATGCATATAGTTTAAATTATTCGTTCAAATGTTTTCACTGATAAACGACCTCGCTGGGGACTATTTGGCACTGATCGTGGGAAAATGAGGCTTAAAACGATCAGTGATAATGCAAATTAAAGGTGAGAATCGAAATCCGCGAAATCCGTTCAAGGCCGCGAATAAGACTTAAAAATTCAGTGCAAATATGTAATAGTTCTAGTAATTTTTACGATATATAGTGTGAAGTTAAATTGAAGTCAGGGGAGATGAACTCTAAACTCTACACTCATTTAATATGTTATGAAATACCATACGATTCAATACTTTCGCATAATTGTTTTGAAAACTTATTATTTGTTTGATTGAACAGTTGCCAGAATAAGAATACCTGTCCCAGAGGAATTGATATTAAACGCTTATGAGAGTTTAGAAATAGATTTTTGGAAATTGTTTCCAGTAATGATAGTATTGACAGTCTTCGTAAATTCTATGACCGGAATTTGCATTTTTGCGAATTCAATAAAAATACATGACATTCAATGCAAAATTCTATAAGACATTTTTTTTTAATTTACATACTTTTCTGTTGAATTTAACACAATGATTCATTGTTGTCGTACATATAACTTTGTGAGTTATAAATCAAACAGCAGATAGTTAGAATATTTTGATAAGTTACCTTGATTGCAAGTTTTCACACACTTTGTGTAATTTCCATCTTCCTTCGTCATGACAAAAAGGCAAGCATTTATGTAGTACGGTGTGCAACCTCGTTTCAGTAAGATGTCTTCATCGTTTCCTTCAACTGTCAAAAAATTATAACAATTATTCGAACAAATGCAAAGCTGGGCTATATTCAGACAACATATAATCGATTATGTTAAAGGCTGCATTACTTACAAAATTTGCGTCGTGAAATCTTTGGAGAACTACTCAATAAGATTATATACTTCCAAAAAACGTCAAAAAATATTGAGACATTTCTTACACGGAAAGAAATGCAAGAAACCAAGTGGGCGTTTTCATACTATATTCGTGTGTGTCTCTAGCCAAATAAAATCAAAAATACCTTTCATTCCTACAATTACAAAATAAATCTGATACCGCGCTGATATTATTCAACTAAGCCCTTCATACGAGCCCTCGTATAATACATTGGAGTATTTCGACTCATGATAATTCAATTAATGTGAACATGTATATGGATGTAATTATACGCTATACTTTTATTTGTGGGCACTTTTTAACTTTATTGTCATACATTTTGCGAGCATTTTTCATTAATCCAATGTGAAGCTAATGGGACAAAATTTTAAATAATATCTAGTTATTAGATTGGTTGTTTACGCCGATATAAGTTGATGTTTTCTATTTTCCAGTGATAAATGTAAAATTTGTTCACAAGCGTATGTATTCATTAACAGTCTATTCCAAATCGATTTTATAAGCACTATGGGATCAACATCATACTCGGGAAGTTTATAATACTTCTAAATTATTCAACAGTTTTGGACAGCAGTTTTATTTGGTAATAAAAGCCTTAGATTTGTGATTCGAAATCACTTTCTGCAAATGGTTTACACAATGCTGTCTGTATTTCAATTCATGTAATTAAAATATTATATTTACCAAGCGTGTCCAATATATTGTGACATGCAATTTCCCAATGCTTGTCATTTATTTAATGAGATCATATTAAGCTTGCCAATTTACACGCATCCGAGCAAAACTCAATTCATGGCCGGGACAAATGTGGCACGAAGATAATTAAAACTTTGAATTTGCTGGCATTAAATCACGTATGCATTATTTTGTCACGTGATTCACGGTTCCGATTTTCACTTTTTGATTTTTCATTGAAGGAGATAAGCCATTCGATTTTATGCGCTCGCCCTTATGCATAATTCAGAAAATAAATTATTCATTACTTAGGTGTAGTAATGGAAAAACAAGTATTGCAGTTTCAAACTTTTGTAATGCAGTAATGCAAATTTTATTATTTTATCCATATTTTGACAATATTGAGCTACATTTTTATCTCTAAGCCTCCTTTATTCCGAATAAAACATATAAATCATGAGGGAATGAGTGCTTTTGGGCCTGACATATGGTAATTGAGTCGAGTAATTATCTAGAAGAAAATATGCTCAAAACAAGGGTCAAGCTCACTCACTCAGGTGTATAGCAAACGGGCATCTGAAGTTAAGTTACGAACATCCACTAAAACAAAGGATCACTAAACCTAAGAAGACATTATACATATCGGTAATACGTATGGATTGACTTGAGACTCGAAGCAGTGCAATTCGGAAAAATGGTACGAGGTAGTGAATAACCAAAAGTACAATGAAATTTTGGCATGAAATTTGTGTGTCTGATAAGTGGACTGACAATAAAAGTTGATAAACTAGACCTCGGCTTTGCGTGAGCAGATTGTAGATAAAATTATATGAAATATGTATTTGTGATTACCCATCTTTCAAACCATCTTGGCTGGATTTTAATAAAATAATTCCTGCCAAATAACAATCAATATCAGCTTACCAGGTCTCAATATTTCGGTATAGCAATATTGCTTGCTGTTGCAACGTATTCCTGTTCTTGAGGTGAATGTATCGACAGTACATTTCGTTTCGTTCGTTATCTCTTTGTCTTTTACCACGCAAGAATAACAAAATGAATGCTGAGGCTTTGCATCCGAGTCCATAGGAGTATTCTCTTCTTGGCAAGCAACTACAAAAATGATAGATTTTATGGTGACCCAGTTTCACTGTGTTTCATATAAATACTTCGACAACAGCGAAAAAACTAAGATCTAGTTTGGTATAGCAAAAAGTAAACCTAAGGAATTAAGTTCAATACCGTGTGGAATATTACATTAAAAAGTCTCTTTCGGTCTACAATCAAAAAACGAAATAACCATCTAATTAAGCAAAAAATATACTCGCACTCCCGTTTATGACCGAAGTTGGCAATTCTAACTGCGTGGAAATGATGTTTATTTCTTGGTGAGGTATAAAAATACCGTGTCTTACCATATGTTTTGAATTTCTGACTCCCATACTTCATTCTTAATTGGGGCGTAAATGTTCTACGAACGCATTTTTGACTGGACTTCTATAAAGTTATATAAACTTAACTTACCTAAAACCATCAGGATTGACGCCAGAAATAGCGTTGTTAAAGACATGTTGATAAAAGATTCCACGCTAAGTTTTAAGGTAACTGTTCAAAAATTATCAGTTATGATTAAATGAAATAATAACCAAATTTTTGGAAAACATAAAGTCTTACTTTATAATAATATATTAGCTAAAGAAAAATGATTGTGATATAAAATACCTGGAATAGGCAACAGGGGTTTCTGAAATGAATGAACTTTAAAACAATTTCGTGCATCGAAAAATGTTGTATTTATCTATCCCCATATCTGCCTGATATTGTTCGTAATAAGCTTCTCTACACAATTAAAAAACGAGCGCTGTTGCGAAGATTGTGAAAATTGTTTGTTATATTCACATTTGAGCTCAGTTAGTTGTGGCGAATATATTAACATTTTTATCCTTTTCTAAATTTTAATATAACCAATGTTTTTGCTGACTAAAAGTATATCCCACGTGTATTGGATACACTAGCAATATACTGTATTCTTGTCTTCAATACATCCGCCACATACTCCACATCGGCACCGCGTTTCCATTATATGTCTATCGACCATTGCCAATGGGCAAGCCTAATTCTATTCTACATCTGCTATGTTACTGATAACTGACGTAAAAGCTTTGCGATTCCCATGGGCATAAAAAGGAGTTCGCTTGACTTTGAGTTAAACCCTTGGGAAGCAAAATATATTTCTCACCGTGGTTCGACAATGCGCAGGCCAATTCTTTATGGATTCAAGTTATAAATCTCAACTAAATAGAATATGTAAACAATTCCCAACTTCAATTCGTATAGTTGATTTCAATGATCAAATTGACTATAATCATAGTCTATAGTTGGAATGACTGTGTAACTGTAGGCCAGTGGTTCTCAACCCTTTTTAGTGCCAGAGCCAATGTAAAGTTGTGAGAAGCCGCATAAAAAACAACGTAAATTGAAATAGCAACAAAAAAAAACTGAAGTATGTAATTTAAAATAGCAACATCAACAAAACTCTGGGTAAAAAAATGTAAAGCTAAACTTGACTTTGGGCTCTGATTTTTTATTCTAAAGACTGAAAAAAGCGAGTCGCAATCCAATCGCAACTCAGCAAAACATACAACAATAGAGAGCGTCTTATTTTCATAACGACATCTATTTCAATTTGAAAATACTTCTTCTTCCAATGTAAGGGATAGCCTGTTGGTTATTACTTAAAACAATTAAACCAGTGTACTGAAACGTAGGATGAACATTGTGCAGAAAAACACTACGACATCATAATAAAAAGTTGAAGAGTTGCATTAAAAACGACCTAACAGCTACGATGACATCAATTCGACTGCTGCACCTCAGTCTCAGTAAAATTTGAGTGGATGTTTTTAATGAGAGTCTAAGAGTCGCGGTTGCGAATCATTGGTATAGAGTGTGATACGCAAATCCAAGGTGTATCTGTTGAAACATTGACTGTATTACTGAAGGGCATAACGAATTAATAAAAATTCTCTTTAATACATTTTGAAAATATTTTATCACATATGCGTCATCCGACCGACACAGCCATGCTCGTGCTATTTCACAAAAAGCTAATAATATTGTTGACGAGATGCATTAATTTTAGAATTGCATATACAATTATACACATTTCCCGCAATTGTACAAACAAAACAATTACAATTTTATCAAACCTTTTCTGTGAAACAATAAGTTCTTCTCAACTTGTCTTTATTATAAATACTCGCATTGTAAGCTCTATCCTAAAATAACGTCACCTGTCTGTGGCGCTTATATCATGAAATATTTAAAACTGAAGTTCAAGGATGAACACAGCCTGTGCATTATTGTTTTGAGTTCCTTCCAAACATTGTAAGTGAGGCATTTTTCATACTACAGCATTGCTTGTTTAACACTTTCTGAAAAATAGTTGTCACATTTGAAACTGCAGTCCTATTTAGTTTGTGTTACTCATGAATAATTTTTACATTTAATTGTGGTAATTCACTTTCTGATTAATTTCCAATTTTGTGTCCAATGGAATTCGCAACAGAGAGACTCGTACATCACAGGGTTTTTCCTTCTTCAGTTGACATGATGGGTTCGAGATAAGTGTACAGCAATTCCCTATTTTCATAATATCTTGTTGCTTCTATCTGCTTTAGACGGGTCGGTCGTCTGTCTTGCTAATTGCCCCAAAACTATCCCGAGTGTGCCGCGGTTAAGTTGCAATGAGAGTAACTTTTGTTTAGTTATATATATATACACCTTTTTTTTCTAAAACACTAAAGAGAAATACTCACGAAGTACATAATGTTAAAGATCTGGACATGAAATTGGCGTTTGAGTGTATGAAAACGGAAAATGGGCTTTGAGTAATAATTTTCGTACACCTACTAGACTAAGTTCTGAAGCCCGAGCCCGACATTTCGGGTCGGGTCGAGCCTGAAATGTTAATCATTACGTTCGGGCCGGGTCGAGTCGGGCCTGAAATGCCAACCATCACGTTCGGGTCGGGCCTGAAATGCCAACCATTACGTTCGGGTCGGGCCTGAAATGTCAATCATTACGTTCGGGTCGGGTCGGGCTTCCCTATCGCTGACTTTTTTCGAAATAAATGTATGTTTATGAAAAAAATATATACTTAAACTATGTGTGGATACTAAACAAAGGAAAACTTGTTATAAAAGAAATAATTCGAATAAAACAGAGAAGAAGCTGTAATGGACCTTTCCCCGGCCTTGACCCTCGAAAATATTCTACCTATAGCCTACTTCACCATACCCGGTTCGAGCCTGCAAACCCAGTCAATTGGTCGGGCTCGGGTCGGGTCGTGTTTAATACCCACGGGCCCGGGTCGGGCTGGAATTTTTAGGCCCGAAATTACCTCTAACACCTACCATCAAAGCCTTTAATATCCTAATAATTTGTCGTATTATTAATGAAGAGCATAACATCATAAATTGTGCTTTTGAGCGAGACAATACTATCTGCGTCTGCCTTCTGTTTTCTTATCTGTCCTATCTGTCCATTTTACTCTGGATTTTCACACGCCTGTGTAAAATGCTTTCTATAAAGAATTTATTCCGCCAAACTTAAATTAATAATATTTTACAAATTACGCTTGAACAAACAGTCACATTTCAAAACAGCAAAGTACCAGTTTGTCGTTTAATAGACAAGCAAATCATTAATTATGTAGTTGTTCATAATTTCATTAATATACGGTTCATTATCGTGACTTATTTTGACATAACAAATACGGACAAAACAAGAAATGACCACATGAGAAAGTTATTGACATTCAAATTCTTAGAGCTGCTATCACCAATGTTGCAAAGATCTGAAAATCAAATATCAATACATTTATATGAATAAAGATACAAATTAGCAATGGTATCTAGAATGGTATGAACAAAGTATTTCATGACAAAGATTACTCGATACATGTTATTGTCGAATCTAAGTGAGAATACCAATGTAGGCTGTATAGTGTGTTCCTCTACGTTAGAGATTGATCACGAATTTCTTACGCAGCTCAAAGACAAAATACGAACAATTGCCAAACTTTATTGAGTGTCACTTTTCTGCATCTAACAGTGTTATATTGGAATGCTTCCTACCACTACCTAGATAAGGTATATATTTAGTGCAGAAACATAGGACGTGCAGATAGTAGAAATTATCTTCATGTATTTCAATATACTATGTAAATGATTTATAAAGTACACCAATATTCTAGACACAGCTTTGAATAAAAATTCAAAAGATTTTTAAAACATCTCAGAAAATTATGAACGGAGCATAATTTTGAAATAAAAATAGAATTTTATGATTTCAAAACGATACCTGTTTTGCATGATTTCACGCACATCTTGTACTTTTCTCCTGCAATGTCCTCCGCTTCCATGCAAGCGTTAATCGAGTATTTTGAACAGCCTCGCTTTATAATTGTGTTACTGGCCTTGTTTTCTAAAAAAAAATATTCCCCAAATTTGAGTTTGTAAAAACGCGTGAATAAAAATCGAATAAAAGTGGACGGATATAATATTTACTTGAATTTCTTTCTAGGCATTCCTGCTTATCAACACAAGTCGTGTTGTGGCTTGGAGTCTCACAATAACTATTATGTATTTACGTCCGTCTAAATCAATCAGTGCCGAAAGTTTGCATTTTTCGTCAGTAATAGTAATAATTAGATTTTAAGTTAAGATTTGTAAATTTATGACCTTACTTTTGTCATACTGTTTTGATAAAAAATACTATTAACATGAACACGGCGACTTCTTATTTTTCTCACTTTAACGCAACACATAGTCATCAACGTAGTGCACCAGTATAGCACATATGCTCGCCAAGAGTACAAATTTAAAGAAATATGCTATCCGTTTTCCTATTCAAATTTAAATTTTATGTTGCAAAACATTTGCAAACTATATTTGTAGGCTTGATAATAAAATTGTATGTTTGTACTGTTACATACATTTTATTTCAATCCTGAAAAATAAATCTTTAACTGAGACACAGTTCTACAATTCGATCAAAAATCAACAATTTTTAAATAAAGTTTAAACTATACCGGGTATAAAGACTCTAAGGTAACAAAATCCAGTACACGCATCGGGAAGTTCTTCATGCAGATTTTCATGATTGCACTCTGTAATATTTTCCGAAATGACACCGTCACAGTAAAAACAGTTGATTGTTTTTCTTTGATAAGCAAATTTTGGTGGTCGGAGGTAAGAGTCATCTTCTATTGCTTCGATATCACTCGCAACTGAAAACAAATATAGTAGATAATAATTGCGTCTTTCCTATTGAGCAATTAACAATCATCAAGTTTGATATCACCAATTCGGTTCAATAATAATGTTTCATTGCTAACATCTAATTTTACGAAACTCTCCCAACTAACTAACTTAGTGGTTTACAAAAACGAAAATGCTAATAGCATTGTCTATATTACAATTTCCTGCTCTCAGAAAGGATCAAGCACTAGGGGTATGGTAAAAATAACGATGACCAGGTGGCAAACTTGTAAAGTTTTATAAGACATTTCATTATATTAATACACCAAGTAATGCGCAATTCTTTGTTATCTGCATTAGACTAAATGTGAAAGGATATATATATTACCGAACAAAGATCACTTCACGTACTTTAGATTTTAGGTTCTTCTATCGCCAAAGTAAAAAAAATGTTCTGTAAACCTGTTAGCTTTGTACGTTTAATGTGCCACTCGCGTCAAGAAATTACCATCGGCACACTGTTATTTACACTCAATACTAATAGATAATACCATACTTGCCGATTTAGAGACCAACATTTGTAGGAGTAGCGACGACACCCAAATAACACTGGACACTTTTAACATGATCTTATGAATCGTATCAAATTATTATTAAACTACTTGGCTGTGACAAGAAAAAAATATTTACTGAATGCCACTAACGACTATCATGTTCCAAGTCCAAAGTTTCCAGCATGGTAATAATATATATTCAACCGCTACATATCCGTATTAATTGTGGTCGAGGGGTACATAAATTGAGTATCATAGGCAACTATATGTGACGTTACTCAGAATTCAAACTACGCGAACTAGTGGGAATATTTCACGAATAAATGTTTCATGTTTTCAGTATATCATTTTGATATTCGTTTATAATTTGCGCTCTTCTATTTTACCGATTTATACACGATGTTTTAGTTTGATAAACAAATTTCAATTGCAGAACGCTACTCATGAAATTTTGTTGAGGGCAATGTCGAACCTGATTGCGGAGTTGGCCAAAATAGTCTGGATGCCCTTTTACGACAGATCATTTCATTCTCGACATTTTCTATATTTCCGCTCTCAATAAGTGGCGCAAATTTTTAATGTCGATTATTGAAAAGGACGATGTTGCGCTAATATATCGCAACAAAAGTTATTATTTTTCCTCGCAAAAATATATTAAGAGGAATATACCAATTCACGAACTTTCAGTTACACTGCAAAATAATACCTCATGAACTCTGAAACCTACAGACCTTGAACTACTCCCATGCCAGACAGCAGATCCTATCACTCAATAGTATACGAAGTCATAACGTAATCTCTAAGATATTTAATTTCCTGACTCCTGTGGGCATTGTGGGTGATTCTGCATTAATATATATTTTCACAGTTGTAGAAGTCAAAACTTTGATTAGGCCGTAACTTATGCAAGATCTCATGAGGCCCGACTCTGATTTTGCAAAGCGATAGCAGCTAACTAATCCAACCTTATGATACACAGAGCGGGCTGGATGTGACGGCTTCCAGACCGAAAGATAATGGGAATCGAGAATGGAACTTTTTGAATTTATTATTTCTTTTTCGCTGAGGGATTATATAATTCATTTTAGACTAAAGATAATCTGCGTTATCTGAAATACCATATACCACTTATAACAGACCACAGATAAAAGTAACAAAGAATTCTTCTTTTTCAATCTACAGCGAAAACAAACGTCATTCAACGATAAGGTTCATTATTACAGCGGTAAATGCCCAATATTTCATGCGCGTTAGTGAAAAATTCTTTGCAAACGTAGTTTAATGACATTTCTGAAGCATCAAGCCTCTCTGTTGATCTTGCAGATGATACTGGTGGTCTAGCATTCGTGACCTCTTTTTCTCGTGGGATCATAGTGACACAACTAATTTATTGCATGGAAGCACGATAGAGCCTCTGGCCTTGTATATAATACTTCGGACGTTTATATCAATAATAGTCCATCACGAAACAGACTTGTGAACGATAGTGCAGTTCAGTTGGATCGATCTGTTAATATCAATCAAAATTTAATTAATATTTACCGCCACCAACGTGAAATTGCTTTGTGATTCTTACTCGTTGAATCGCAATTACGATTTGGTTACATTAACGTGTCGATGGAACCGCATTAGTACAGCATGTACATAGAGTACATACCTTTAAGTTCGTTCGGCTGTGTGTGTACATCACTCAAATGACTGTTTATGCATATTAGGTTGCTTTTATAAGTATAGCATGTTATCAACCGAAGAGCAATCGTAGCCTAGAGACTGACGCAAAAAATTTGTGAATGATATCGATAAGACTGACGAAGGTTTTACATCCCACCAATGCTACAAATAGTATATCTCACGAATCATTCAATATTAATTCGGCTTGAACTGAATAAGTAGTTTGGATATAACGGGATTATGTATTTTATGCCAATTTATCTGAATTTTTTTTTATCGAATATCGAAGGTCGTTTCCCCAACTAGATTCTAGGGTCTGGTTTTCATGGCCTTTTTGAACGAGAAATCGAGCGTGCAATCAGAGATTTCAGCTTGCAAATTAGAAATCCCGAAGTGCAATGATAAACCACGGTGTGCGCTTGCGTTGCGAAACTACTAACAGCGAATTTCAGCCTAGTTTAACTTTGTTGCGACTACATTTTTGATTACAACAACTAAACTAAAGCTCCTTGCCATGTAAGACAAAATAATTATTTCACTTATACCTAATAACCAACAACCCAGCTAAAAACTGACGAATTCCTAACAAAACAACGAGAACAGGCCAGTTTGTATTAATAATTTGTATCAATTTTCAAGGGGTAAAGTAGGTAAAACCCAAATAACATTATTAGAGCTCACAAAAAGCATTAAAATGAACAAAAGTAATAGCCTTCTAGCAAAAATAGTATCTTTAACCAAGGAAAATTTCAAGCAATTGATCCAGTAGTTAATGAGAAAAGCAAGATGAACAACAAGACATAATAACAAAACAATCCATAGATTCACTTCGTGGCCAACAAGGGAGTCGATGCTCTGAAAACAGTACCGGGACAGTGAGAAAAATCTTCAAAAAAGTATAAAACTTGATGGAAAACATGATGCACCCGCTCGCCAACATACACACAAAGTATGAAGCAACAAGCACAAATGCTGGTAAACGACGGTTTGACCGTAAATGAACAAACACAAATACGCGAGTGGATTCAACTTCCGGGCTGTTTTTACTTTTGGAATGTCTGCGGATACTAATGATCCATTCAATGTGATACAAAGATAGCATATGGTTTACGTTTGTTTCCCGGTTACCACAAACTCACGTTTTAATGGAAGCGCATTTAGTTTTTCATTAGTCTGGCTTTGCTGCAAAAACCACGAAAAATTACTAAAATCTTCTTTCTATATCTACATATAGTGTAAGATTTCAAACTCTTCTTAACGGAAATAGCGATTCTGCAAATGTAAGTACTTTAGAACATCGATAAGATTTTCAAGGCAAAATCTTAACTTTGGAAAATGCTCATTGCTAATTTGTGCGCTCATGAAAGATGCTATCGAAAAAGGATATGCCGAGGGAATATCAGATTATGACAATGGTAATCCTTGCAGTTCTTAATTCGAAGGTCAGAGTTTGAGTAGATATTTGTTACAAAGACCAGATCTTACCAACACATTGATATCAGTATTTGCTTGCTTTCGGGGAAAGGAAATTGCGTTTACGGCAGACATCGAAGTAATCTTTTATCAGGTTCTAATTAACGAAGAAGACAGAAATTTTGCAAGATTTCTGTGGTGGGACAATGGTGATTACACGAAAAAGCCTAGTTGTTACAGGATGCGAGTCATGGTGTTTGGTTCTCCGTCAAGTCCACCGTGTTGTAATTTTGTCCTCGAGAAAACTGCAGATGACTATGAAAAAATTTGGTGAAGATGCAGTTGAATTCTTGCGAAACAGAACAGAGATATTTCTGAAATCAACTGATACTCTTCAATATACTCTATCCGATTATAGTTCAACAGGTATTCCTGAAGTATGCGCACCAAGATGTCACATAACCTGAACCCTAACCTGGTACACAACCTACAGGTTGTGCGCCATCTTGGTGCGCATACTTCAAGAGGTCCGTTCAACACCCAGGGTATGTTTTCTAGAATATTCTCCATGCTATCATAACAGGACTCAATGCCTGATTATAATAGCATTAACGAAATTAAAACTAGGGAAGAAAATTTAATCATAAGATATTCCTAACAAAACCTGCTGATCAAATAACACGCGTAAAGTGAAAGTTCTTCTTCTGTTCACTGCCCCTACGAATTCAAAATAAAACCGCAAATACATTATTTGACCGCGAGAACAATTTTAGCGATTACATTATTGCTTGAAAATAGAGCTCAAAAATTTGAAACTCCTTGGTAAGAATTAGGTTATGATCTGAATAAGAAAAAATCAAAAGAATTACTAAATTTCTATAGAAAAATATGCAAAATTTGTCGCCACAGTCGGGATTTTAGAACATACATAATGAAATTAATCCAACACTCTAAAGATAGCAATATAGACACAAAAACGATTCACTTATATTGGGTTTAGAAGAATCAGTGGGGACCTATGGTAACTTTTTGAATCCGTAAGTGATCACAAGGGTGATTAATACGTTCTTCCTAAATGTCAATGTTTTATTTTGTTGTCATATTTACTATCGTCAGATGTCATATTATTGAAAGCTTTCATTCGCTTTTGACTACCTTCTTCGAGCATTGCCAGATACGGCAATTCGTGGATTTTTGTGTTATGATAATAATGTTTATATATACTCAATGGTTCAAATTTTTTGTCAGCCGGCTCCATCACACAAATGTCATATTTTTCAGTTACAAAAAGTCGTGTTTTTTTTCAGTAATGCCAGGTTCGCTGATCTCATAAAATTCCATGAGACGCTTCTATAGAACCGGTGCGAACCGGCTGAATCACACTACTGGTTATACTCGTGCACAAATATAAGTAGTGCCAGTTGCAATATAATATTAGAAAGGCGGTATGAAACTGAAGTTAAAATATGAGAATCTTCAGTTAGGCCGTGGTCGTTTTTTTATTGAATGAGCCAAAAACTTTATTTTTATTATGGAAAAAAAGACCCTGGGTCAAGCTACTGCGGGACCAAGTCACCCCCATCTACGGGGACAGGATGAGCGCTGTAAGTTCTCCCATCATTTTATGAGTATAAAAACCATTCCATCGGTAACAACCAATCGGCAAAAGCGACAATTTTTAACGATAAGAAAGTGTCTTTAAAACCGGTCCAAGTCAAGGGATTAATAAATATGACATAGTTTATTTTGAAACCTCTTTCATAAGGAAAGGCAATATTTACCCAGATAAATACAATGACATATTAACAGAAACTTCGGGAAAGCAGACAAAACCTAAAATAAGGTTTAAAACGTTACTATGAAGAAAGGAAAGGTAATGCAAAGATAAGGACATGCGTCGCTCACTCATATGCTGCTAGACTTCTACTGCTTGAACATATATGCAACACGCCGCGGTTTCTTGGAAGCAAAATGCTCAATAACGCGCTGATTTAAAGTCATGCATCCCAGAAATAAGGTCTCTGTGAATGGATAAAACAGCCAAGGAATTTAATCTATCTTGCTTCATTGTGTTTCTGAGATACGTTTTAATACGCTTCAGCGTGCTGAATGTTCGCTCTGCGTCGGCGGAAGAAATAGGCGTCGTCAAAATGATGTCCAGAAATTTTGCAGACGCCGCAAAGGTAGTTACTAGAGTGTTATCTATGAGGAACCCATAGAGCGCGCAAGTTGATGTGATGTTCAAAAAAGTTTGATTGGTGTATATACATCGCAATTCATTTTCCAATTTACCCACGTTTATCATGGGGTAAAATTTGGAGACAGTAGCCAACAAATGGATGGGAAATTGACGTGCAAATTTTGAAAAAATTTTTGGGGTTCATCAAAGAGAACGCGGCAAGGTGTTCAGTGCGCAGACGATCGCCTATTTGATTCACCAGAATGTCACACCATTTCTTTGCAGACAAAATCAAACGCTGCGTTGTTTGCCCGCGGGGTAAAGAAGCACTCCATGTGTCGTCGTATTTTATTGTTTCCCGGATACGAGATACAGCATCGCAGAAGTCTGAAATACACGACTGCACAGACGCTCCATCCATTAGCCTTGACTGCAATGCGCCGTATAATACATTCACGTGATAGAATATTGTGGAGAAAAAATGAAAACTCACCATCTTCTAGCAGACGCTTTAGACCTGCCGCCTCCCTCACAGAGCGTTCGTCCCAAACCGGAGAGCTCTGAATGCCATTGAAACACTCAATGAGCTCAGACCTAATTTCGGACACGCCCTGCACCACGCGTGATTGGAAGTTCCAACGTGTTGGTGCACAAGCTGGGAGACGGCGGCTACATATCTGGCGAAGGAGGTCAGAGCGCTTCGGCGAAACGGAAAAAAATGAAGAAAACCCCGAAACATTTTCAAAAAATATACGGACGAGAGGGGTATCAAGACACATATTTTTAATAACGAGGTTAAATTGGTGTGCATAACAATGTAAAAAATGCGCATGAGGAAAATCTTCTTTTTTATAAACTTGAACACCATGTTTCGACCCACTCATGACTGCCGCGCCGTCATAAGTTTGAGCTATCAATTTTGACTTCGCTTTGTAAGGCTACAGCCGATATCCCGCAAGCCGTGCGATCAACGATTGGTACAAAGCTGTGAAATCTCTCGGTAGGTTTACCATCTTTCACAAACCGAAAAATCACAGCCAGTTGGGAAACGCACGTGATGTCAGTTGTCTCGTCAGACTGAATCGAAAGGAACTGGCAATTCTCAATTTCCAGAGCCAAATGTTGTAAATAAATTTTATACATTGAGTCGAGCAAATCATTTTGGATATCCTTAGATGTCCCTTTCGAAACAGTTGCGGCATCAAGATGATCTCTCAATACTGTATCTAGGGATGCGGTGTATTCCTCCATATCCAAAAATACCCCTCTATTAGAAGAGCCAGCCCGTTCATCGTGCCCACGGAGGGACAGCTCGTGACAACCAATGAACTTCAAAACATCTATCAATCGACCGAGAACATGGCGTTTTTTCTCGACGTTTTGGTTGTGCCGACGAATAGAAACCGCGCGTCCTTCATCCAACTGTGCTGCAATATTAACATTTCCGAATGTTCGGTATTTTACTGCATTGTCCAGATGCTCCATAGAAGATTGATGATCCCTGGCACGCTCGGAAAGATGTTTAAGATCTCTAAAACCACATTTACACCAACGTGAGTCACGGGCGGTAGCAAAAAGTAGGCAATAAAAACAAAAAAGTGCATTTTTGTCCTCGCTGTAACACAACCATTCGTGTTTTTTATACCAAGTTTCTGCGCAGAATGTACGCCGACGCTTTCCTCCGTCATGGGATTGTTCCAGTGAACAATTTTTTGGTTGATAAGGCCCAAGACGTTGTACCTCTAATTTTTGTTCCAGCGGCAGCTGCGAAAACGGAGTGCGAATCAGTGCATCAACCTTATTCATTATGAGGTCTAAGGCTAAGAAATGCGAAGCCGGAAAGAAGTGAGGAGCTCAAAAGGAATGTGGAAAATCGAAAGCAAATGGACTACTAAAGGTCTCTAACTGATTCAAATAGCGAAATAAGCGACAAAAACGAAGGCGAGGAAACTATCAACTCTTCAAGCAACCAACGAACGAGAAGGAATGCGTGAATATGTCAACACGTTGTTGTAAGAAACGTTGGCATTGTGTCGTCATAATTTCGGGGCTAGCACCGATGATTTAGTAAAAGAAACAGAAAACAAACAAGACAAACGCGGCGAGTGGAAGATAAAAGAGAGAATACGATATACAATGAGCAACCGGGGCAAAATCGGCGTCGCCCCGTCGACCTTCGGCGAAGGCTTTGCGAGCGAAAAATGAACCATGTCGGGAGAATATGGCTAGTGTAGACAGTCTGTGCAACCGATATTGAGGTATTTTTCGAATATTTTTTATTGTACCGAAAAAACAACCGGGGCATTGCCCCGGTTGGCCCTATTGACGCGCCGCCACTGATATATATATTTATTCAATCTCTGTATTGTGTATTTATTGATCATCTTTGCCATTAGTTGCGTAGCTCTATGCAGAAACGTGTGTCGTAAAGAAGCGAAGACAGCCGCCCCAAAGGGAGTTCCGAAAATTCACGGGAGAAACTCGATTACAACTCTCGTTAAAAAGAGGCGACTTTTCAGCTGATATTGATTTTTTCCTCCGGAAAATATATAATCCAATGAACCTCTAGATTAGTATGTCGTGTCGTAATAACTGTATTCAATGTGGCCGATATTAGAGTATTATACCGTTGATCAGTTACGGTTCCCTCCTCCACCCTTAATTCCATGCATTTGAATACAAAATATACCCGGCAAACTAATCCCATACCATACGCCTACACGGACAGGTAACTGGATAAGAGGCCATGGTACGTCATAAGATTGAGCAATTTTATTGACCCAAATTGCTCACAGGTACCGCTTTTTTCGCCATCAGGTCTATGATTCTGAAAGAAATAACTGGCCAACTAATCCCATACCAGACATGGATGGGCCACGAAAGCCATATGACTATATGAGCAAGCAGTCTTACCAACTTTCCTCTTATCTGGATGAATACCAAGAATCCTACCCTATCCTAGACAATGCAGCAGTATTCCAAATTACTATTTAAAATGCATACTTTGCTGCGTTGCTTGAAACTAAAAATAAACAAAATCCTCAGTTGGCGTGCAAAACGCAGGTTACTATTCACTACTGTGCAAATGTCATATACAAAACTATAGTTCCCTGGTGTAAAACCCTTTTAAGTGGTAGGCTAGAGTAGAACCAATCTAAAAGATGATACTCTGCCAATGGTAAATAGATGTATTTAAGAAAAATGTTATCTTCAGCTTAACAATAAAGAAAGAATTGGCCAGGGATGAAAATATTATAACTTAATGATGAGGTTTCCTAATATATCTGAGTCCACAATACATACAACTTTGAGCTTTTCCTTTGTCCAAATTAATATAAACCCGAGGGTGTCCAAGAGCTGCAGGACCATCTGGGCCATCTTTGCCTTCACAGTATGCAATTCGACTTTCAACCTCTATTGGTGGGACGTCATTGACCATCTCCACTGCCCAGTTTCTATTCACAATTTTACTACGATCAATATATCTATTTCTTCTCCAATCATCGTCATCAAAAAATTGTCCTGTATGTGTAATTTCTTCAGTTAGAGTTGGCAAATCCTCCCCCTGTAAGAGTAAGTGATTGTTGTTATACCAGTCAATTCTGTCATGTGTTATATTTCCATCGACCAAAATATTTGTATGCAGTGTTTCAATCTCTGGAGTCTGCAATGCATATAGCAGGAATGGCAAATCTTTTTACTGAATATGAAATTGGGTCTGGTATCATGGATTCATGGTCAATGTCTGCATTAATGAGAAACTTGCTGTTACATCCTGTTTGAATGTCTTACTATAATGGGTTGGTATTGTGTTGTTCTGTATTTTACAAATATCTTGCGGCACTTGTATCAAGAAAATACCTAGGTGATTCCTGGCAATGGTTATGAAATTCATTTGGAAAAAATAAATATCAATATGGAGAATGCGTTCACAATACTACACCAAATGTTTCATAGATTCAAAAGTTCGTGCAAATATTTCACAGAAAATAGGTTTCCACTTAGGTCTGCACTGCATTAACGAAGTCAATACCACCCACCCAGTATGTAGGTAAAGTACCTTTGAACACCTTCCAAAGGCCCCTTTAGGTTTATAGACCTGGAAAAGTTGTATGACGCACTAAAAACAATCAAATCTACGTCAGATGAGGCTGAGCGTGCATTTTCAGCTCTTGGATTTTTATTAACAAAATCAGAAATGATATTAATGATGACACTCTTGATGCTCTCATGTTTCTGCATCAGTTTTATAAGAAATAAACATGACTGTTCATAATATGGAGTATGTGTTTTTATTTTTATATTATTAATCCCTGGATTAAATGGTAAAATTCCCAGGCATTCCCGAGCCCGGGTTTCAAATCTATGTCAGATGAGGCTGAGCGTGCATGACTGTTCATAATATTTTGAGTATGTGTTTTTATTTTTATATTATTAATCCCTGGATTAAATGGTAAAATCCCCAGGCAATCCCCGAGCCAGGGTTTCAAATCTATGTCAGATGAGGCTGAGCGTGCATGACTGTTCATAATATTTTGAGTATGTGTTTTTATTTTTATATTATTAATCCCTGGATTAAATGGTAAAATTCCCAGGCAATCCCCGAGCCAGGGTTTCAAATCTATGTCAGATGAGGCTGAGCGTGCATGACTGTTCATAATATTTTGAGTATGTGTTTTTATTTTTATTTATTAATCCCTGGATTAAATGGTGAAATTCCCAGGCAATCCCGAGCCCGGGTTTCAAATCTGGGTCCCTAACAACCCTCGTCAGCGGTTTCAATACTGTTAACTGGCTAACTAATTCTATAGCCAACATAGACTGGTAACAGGGCAAGGGGTCGTGCTTCGCCACATGATAAAGCGATTTTATTGACTTTCCTTTAAATATGTAAAGCCTCTCTTTTTCTGAAAAGCATAAGAAATAATAAAAAAAATGAACATTGTCCACTAATCCACTAATAACTGCATTGTTGAATTTAGAATATACAGAATTATTTAAACGAATTCTAGATCGTCAATTATCAAGGAATATGAGGCTCAAGAGTCAAGATTATTAAACTAGAGATGTCATAAACAAAAACCAAGCCTAAGTGCTTAGCTGAAGTTGGTAGTCTGGATGTTCAATGACTTTGTAAATATTTATCGCCAGATAATATTTCAAAGAAATCAAAGAAAATTATGACAAAAACTAAGCAAAAGCCTTCAAAGGCTAGTGGGATTTAAGATTTTTGCAAACCAGATGTTAAATGGAGCACAATATCGATTTTTAGATGAATCAATAAAAAGTAGTGAAAAATGCAGTTTTAACAAATGCTTCGACGCAATCAGTAACATGAAACAGCAGACTGGTATTTATTTAGCTGATCCTTTGTTATTCATCGGCGTAGAACTGTTAAAAATCCATTATGAAACCCTTATTTTAGATCTGCATATGGATGGTTCGCACCAAACAATGAAGTCTAAATTTTGTGTGAGTGAGATTGAATACTGGCAGAAAATATAAATTTATTTGACAGCATACCTGAACTTTAACAAATTTCCCTTCAACAAGAACAAACTTTCCTTTTGTTGCACTTTTGACAAGTGAGGATTCTGAAGAACTTCCAACATTTGATAAGGAACGAATTGCAATGCGTGATAATGTTGCAACTTTCATATAATTCATATTAAATATAAGAAAGCTAATTTTATATTTAATTAAGCAAATTCTGAAATTGGGGTAATGTAACATTATGATTACAGGCCATGTAAAGCCAATTTGTCATATCACAGTGTGACAGCAGCAGACAGTTACCGGTATCCCCTCCCTGCCTTCATTCAGACAATGCTCATGTACTGTCACGGTGTCACCTAAAGAGTGTACCGGTACCGGTACAGTTTGAACCGTATTCACATCTGAAGAAATTGACAACCACCTAACAACAGAACTACCGAGTACCCGTAACATATATCTGTATATGCTAAATTCTGGAGAATATCACATTTTTCCTTGTAGACAGTGGATCAAAATTTACTAGAATCTTATTTTTCAGTTTTTATATCGTACTTCAGTCTGCTGGTGTATCAGTAGCAAATGGATTTAAGACTGAGGTCCCCTGCCGTTAGCATTAGGTCCATATGTTCAGATGGTTTTCTGACTTGCATACCGGTAGATCTATTTACAGGTACCGGTACCCACAGCATTTATTATTTTCCAATACGAAGCTACCGAGCTAACTGAGTTAGCTACAACACCACAGGCCTGTGGAGACACAAGTGGACTGAACGAGCCACTCAACCCGGTTTTAATGTTTTTTTGACGAAAATATTGACAGAGAAAAACCAAAATCTGACCACGAAAATTTTGGCATATGCAATTTCGGCTATGTTGAATGCTTTCTTAGTTTATGTAGGAAATTTTAATCTCGATCATCTGAATTGGGGCTTCACAAAATTCAAACCTAGGTTTTCGCGTTTGGCAGTCGTCGGGTGCGGTCGCATTTTTGAGCGGTGCAGAAGGACTAAATTGATAACAATGAACCAGCACTGAAGGAATATCAACAAGTAAAGCCCGAAATAATAAATTACATGGCAGCATAAAGGCAACATACGGACATCATAACAGAATCGAAAGATAAATACATCAGAGATAGATTCCGATAGTTTATTTTGTGAAGAAGAGTATGATGTTGAATTGCGGACTGTCAGCAGATACTGTTATTTCTAGAATTTCCGCTTGAGTACTAAATGAGTATTCAACTATATAACACGTGTAAATAGTTTGCAGTGTAACTTGCTATGACCATACAAATGCGCAACGTTTTTAAACATTCATCCAATGTCATATTTTTGTTTTGTTCTCTCTGTATGTATACTGTTTCAACAATGTTAGCCACGTCAATATATCAATTAGGCTACAGACCTGTTCACGTGTGATTAGTATTTTTCCTGATAATTGTTTTTATGAGTGTCCGCACATTGAATTTGACGTCATGGTTTTGCGTTTGTTTGTATAATTCCGCAATGCCCCATCTAGCAATCAGTGTAGTTTTTCGTGGCTTGGTTTTTATTAAAGCTTTCGTGGCTTCATGAGTATGACCGTAAATGTATGACTATTGTCGCCAATTTATTACATTTCACTCCCCACATTATCTTTGCAAAAGATTGTATTGATCATTATCAACGTAAGTGTTTAAAGTACAACAGCCCGAAAGTTTAATACTATCGCGTATTTTGTTGTTAAGTTTGGCTCGTATGTTAGTCGTTGGTTTGGCCCAAGCGTCATTTAATTGGTCTCGTGTGTGTGCGTGATGATGGGCAGGCACATGAGATAATTCTCGTGTTTTAATCATTTTTATGGCTTTTTCTTGCTCTCCAGAATTCTCCATTTTTAATTTATGTTTGTTATGAAGTTTTCAAAATGAACTATCTATCTATACTTCAGCTTCGACTCGGACTCCGGGAAGTTTGAAAATACGACTTCCCACCATTTCAGAGGGAGAAGAGATCCGATAAAACGACTTGATGGAGCACTCCATGTTGAACGGGCTCTAGATTAGGTTACCATATCTGGAAAGACAAATTCCCTGAGGAAATTTCAATGAGCCACGTTGACCAATTTTGCAAAACACTTGTATTATGGTATTCAGAGGCACAAGCTGTCGTATATATAAAAAAAAAACGAAAGGAAAAATTGAGTTTTGATAAAATGTATAACTTATATGTAATAAAACCTTTTTAATCTAAGATTCTAAGGCGTAACACCGACAGGTCCACTAAAACTTATAGCTGCGCGAAGCTATACAACGCTAGCAACACTAATTTAGTAGTTCATTGAACGTGTAATTTTGAATATATATATATATATGAGATAAACTATAGTTATTTTTGGATAATTAATAGACAAAATGATCAAAAGGTCTCATAATATGCAACTGTTACAGAGGCTCGTCGTCGAACCCCTAGCACAGCTCTACGGAATCATAGGGGTTCGATCGAACCCAGGTTAAGACCACTGCCCTGAGAAGTTACACCAATACGAAGTTTCTCGTGAGACGAGGAAGTCGTGTTATTTATCCACGACGGTTCCATTACATTTGAACCCACGTACATTTGAACCCATGACAATTGCACTTGTATGCTATTGCACCTATGGAATTTTTTTGTTTCACGGATAGTTAAACCCATACTAACCCTAACCCATGGGCCTAACCCCAGCACTCGCATATAGATTGAACCCGTGGATATACGCATGGGTTCAAATGTACGGTCACCCTCCCCGACGTCTTGCCGTGACAACCAACGCCACTTTCTAAGTGACTGTCCATTTCCACCAGGAGCTGATCGACGGCTTGTTAGAACACGAACTATGAAAAGCTTTAACGTATAGCAACCAAACAAGGATCATGATGATGAAAACTCTAATTAAGAAGGTAGGACCGTTTTGAATACTTCATTTACTCGCTACATCGAGGTAAAACGCTGTCCCCCTTTTGATACAATTATTCGTGATAATAAAGTCAGAATCACCATTAATTCGGATGCTCAAACCAATTTAGTCAATAGCCAAATTGCTTGATGCCCATATAAGACAAAGTCGTTAAAGAGCCGTTCAGGCGGATGGAAAATCACCATTAGGCCTAATTAGAGAAACCACCCTAATTTTGCCACGAGGCAACAAAAAAAATGTTTTGGCGCCCTTGTGGTCAAAAACCTTGATGCCAAAATCTTAGCTGGAATACCGTTCTTAAAAATTTATGATATAACTCTCCACCCATTTAAAAACAAAATAAGATATCGCGATGGATCTGTTTATCACTACGGCCAACTATGTCAAGCTTAAATTATCAAAGTTCTACGCATCACCGATCGCACGCAAACGATTTGGCCAGGGGATTATTTAAATATAAAAGTTCCGAAGGAATTTTCAGCGAAGACTGCCGTAGTGATAGAGCCTCGCAATAGTATGCAAAATCTGGTATAAAATGGTCTTCGCCAGACATAGTGAAGATAAATGACGGAAGTGCAAGTATATAAGTGCTTATTTTACACAAGCACGAACACGTTTGCCGAATTTCAAAGGTTTGCTTTGGTAATTTACTGCAAAAAGATTTTGCTGAAGACTTGAGTCCACACAGTTCTCGGACTACTCAGTCCAAGTCTGATCCGGTACTGCATTCGATGACCATCTCTGTTAACCCAGGTCAAATTATGGATAAAAATACAACAGACGCATTTATTGAGCTCCATAAAAAGTATGACTCTGTATTTGATCCAACTCCGTATGGTTATAATGGTGGTGTTGGGCCATTTGAAGCTGTGGTAAATATGGGCCCTGTGCAGCCGCCTAGGCGTAAGGGACATGTTCCGCAATATTCCAAAGATAGACTAGGCGAACTTCAAAATAAATTTGATGAGCTGGAAGTCGTTGGTGTTTTTGAAAAAGCAGAGGCTATTGGCGTCAATCTTGAATATCTCAATCTCTCATTTTGGTACGGTAGTCAAACGGCGGACTTCGCGTAGTTACTGCGTTTTCAGGGATGGGGAGGTATAGCAAACCTCAGCCGTAAATTATGCCTGATGTTAATAACACATTGCGAAATATCGCACGCTGGAAGTACATCATATCAACAGATTTAACAAACGCGTTTTGTCAAGTACCACTTTCTAAAACACCAATGAAATATTGCGGAACTGGGACCCCATATCATGGCGTACGGGTTTATACAAAACCGTCATGGGCATGCCGAGAAGAATCAATGTTTTGCATACTAGGAGATTTTATTTATAAAGGCAGACGATTTATATTGTGGTGGAAATTCCGTTGAAAAACTACCAAAATTGGTCGGACGTTTCAAAAGCCCTGAAAGCTTGTCGCATTTCATTATTGGCAAAAAAGACGATCATTGCACCAAAATCCACAATCTTGGGATGGATTTGGTCCCAAGGAACAATCTCCGCTAGCCTTCTATCAACATGCGATCCACCAGCAACGGCTAAAGGAATGCGTTTATTTCTAAGTGCATATAAAGTTTTGAGCCGCGTAACCTCAAATTGTGCATACATGCTAAATGAGTTGCAGAAAATGACGGACGGGCGTTCATCTAAGAACAAATTGGCCTGGAACGATACTTTACTAGATGCTTTTCACTCTTCCCAGAAACATTTGTCAAATCATAAAGTGATAACCTTACCAACCGAAGACGATCGCCTGTGGATACTTACCGATGGGTTGGTAAAAAACTAACTTTATATGTATTCCGTAATGGAAAAAACTTTACTCGCCGGGTTCTACAGCACCAAATTGCGCAACATACCTGGATCCCATGCGAATTTGAAGCGTTATGTATTGCGTCATCCGTAAAACATATTTCGCCATTTATCATTCAGTCAAATCACAAAGCATGTGTTTTAACTGATAGCAAACCGTGTGTAGAAGCCTTTGGAAGGCTGTGCTGTGAAAAATTAAGTAGCAGCGCCAGAGTCTATACATTTCTTTCTGTTGTTAGCTAATTTCAAAGTAACATCCTGCTAGCTCTGAAAACTTGCCTAGCGATTTTTCGAGTCGTAATGCACCAACCCGTCATGAACCACATTGCCAAATTTGCGTAAGCCCTGTATGTGAACCGGATAGAAAACTTATCTGTTTTGTCATCTATTAATATTGAGGATATTGTGGCGGGGACAAGTAGATTACCGTATACAAATAGGTCCACCTGGAAAGTTATCCTAATGGAATGCTCAGAATCATGTCATCAGTTCGTGTCATTGAAGGATTTTTTTTTCGTAATTCCGCAATCATGTCTAATGACCCTCCTCTTGGAATTGGAATTAAATTCGCCACCGACGTTTTCCAATTAAACAAACAATACACTTTTTCGTGTTGAAAGAATATGTTTTGTCATACACCAAAGCCTGTATTATAAAAAATGAGCGAACGACTACTTTACGCGACGCTATTTAAAACCTTGGTTTGAACATGCGCCCATTAGATGAGCCATTGGCAGTTATAAGAACTGCCCCTGCCCCCGGATTACTTGCTCTAACACAGACAATGTTCTTGAAGAATTTTAGATTTTCCGTACAAATTGATAGGACAAAAAACGTAAAAAAATCTAACTGCCGAGAAAAACTTGGGAAACAAGGAATGATTAAACATAGTACAACGCTCCGACAACCTTGGACCACCCTAAACTAGAAGTTTTTTTTCCTGTTCTGGTTGATCTTCGAAGTGGAAGATATTCTTTATCTTTACCGAGGGACTTTGCTCTTGCTGGTTGTAGATTTGAATCTATGTCTTCCAATTCATTGCGTTTGGTAATTTCTTCAGGTATATATATATTGTGAAGATGTATGAACGAGATCTGTTGGTTCATCGGGAACAAGTAGGTTTGTTCTCCAATGCGGGCTCACTGGTAAATAAATGTAAATGATTGATATTCACGCGCAACCTTGTTATGCTCTATTTCTCATTCTTCGTCTTCACTTGAATTATGTTGAACATTTTCCGTTGTACACCAATTATTTGCTACTTTGTAGCATTCGCATTCCCTTTGTAGAAATTTTGTCTCAGTTGTGTTCCAGCAAATTTACGCGCTGAGCACCAATCGTTATCAACAGCGCTCACCCCATAACGATCTCTGGAACAGGATTCACGTCGATCTGTTATACCAAGTATACCAGATCTCTGATTTGAATTGGCGGCTGTTTACGTAGTCTTTCGTTGAAAGCCTTCGATTTTTTACCGTACGGGTGATTTTCCGTGCGGTTTTTATGCTGTAGGATTATCATACTGCGATCTATAGGTAGTTGTAAATTCTGAGTCCCTATTTCCCTTGCAGATAACCCCTGGTTACGAAGTCTAGAGTTTGATCGCAAAATGGCGACAGAAAGTGTTACATCAGAAATTCCATGGGGTCGGACGTGATATTTCAATTTAAAACAGGGATGTCCAACCCGCGGCCCACTTGAAATTTTTATATAAAACGGACATATAAACATATTTGACATAAAAATAACCTGGTATGATATAATCTTTAGGCTATAATTTCATGCGACTCCGCCATAAGAAAAGCGTTGTTAAGCGCCATAGAACATGGTTTCACAGAGGGCCACTCAAAAGGCAACATCTGTGGCGATACAATGAGTTTGCTATCCATTGTGAAGACATCAAGGTTGAAGTCACATACCGGTACTTGTTTTATTGATGGTTGTTGAACTATAGATCTCTGTGGTTGAACCACAAAAACAAATCCAACGGTAGGTCTGGAACAAAAAAGATGAAGCTTGAGGATGAAAATCGGAATTACAAAAGGTTTGGGAAAAGTTGTAAGACAACCATGTATGCCTAATATGCCGTAAATCTGTTTTGATCTTGAAGTCTCATAATTTGAAAATTATGAAGTAGAAGCATAGGAGTACGCTGACGAACAAAAATTTGATTTACATTTTGCATAAAAGTTGAGTTGAATTTCATGGTTCATGGTCTTTGTGTGCATCTTGTGTTCAGAAATCCACAAAAATGTTGTACAATCCAGGCGTTTGATTTAGCGATGCTCAAATTCTAACGTAAATCGGAATTGGGTTGGTATGGTAAAAACGATTGCGGCCGCAATGAATTTCCCCATGTGAATGTGGCCAGTGACACTAATAAGATTGGACATGCCTGATTTAGACTATTGTTTTAGGGGTCTGTTGTTGTTTACGTTCAATATTATTTGCCACAAAACACGTGTGAGTTATATTCGGGGTCAAGGATCTTATCAGAATCTAAGAATATTCGTCCTTTGATACATCATAAATTAAATCATTTGATTTTGTTTCCTGATTTCTATAGTATCATATTATTTGTTTTTATCAATTGTTTTATTGCCTGTTTTGCTGATTATGAAGTCGAAATAAAGTTATATGCTACCTAACATGCCTACATGATTAGTACAACCTAACCTCCAATAAACAGTGAAAATCAATTCAAAAAACATCATCGACACGCGCACGTTAGGATACTGCATTATTATTCTGAACAAATTCATTCCATATTGCCTTTGTTTACAACCCTAGCTTCAATGTAAGTTGGCTTGAAATTTTGTCTATTTGCTCTGTATGTTCAAACCCTATGTGCGTGGAATTTGAGATTCTTCAACTCAGTTTTATTGGAAATAGCAACTAATCATTTCTAATTCTTGCTACATGCAGGGTCTGACTCCAGTATTGTAAGAAGTTCCGTAATAATTTTTTTTAGTGATATTTTGAAAATTTATTATTTGTTTATGTCGAGTGAAGCACAGTACAAGTAATTCTTTAAAACAGGTTAGGATAGCTATAATTTTTAATCACAACTAAATTTGATAAATACAGTGAGAGCAATTTGTTAAAAAATAAAAGACACAAAACCCAATTCTATGACATTCAAAATTTAACGCCCAAAATATTATATGATAGATATTGATGATTATAATTTTAGCACGATAGTACTACTCGCAGTGAGATTTTTTAAATACTTCATCTAGAAGGCCAATATTACACATAATGCAATGCTCGTCTTGCATAAAACAAGTGTAACAAAACTTATTGAAATAAAGAAATTTAACACAAAAATAATATTTTTGACTCCAGCCGAGTGTATTTCAACCTTTCCTAGCCCAGCATGAGATAACCTATATCAAAAACTTCTAAAAAATGAATGAGACAGAATTATCAACAATGGGTTGCAAGAGTTTTATTGTTTAAAAATCATTCGTGCTTAGGTGATGGATTGAAACTCAACAACGGAGGGTCATTGTCTATTACGACCTAAACTGGTATAACATATATATATACCGCTATATCATATACCTCATATATCCAATTACCCTTAAGGTCATCCATCATTAACATGTCCTCATATTAAATTATTCCATATATATATATATGATACGAAGCAATTTGCAAACTGTTTTCCAAATTATACATATTCATGATAAAACAAAGTTCATGACTTGAAGTAGATGAGAAATGATTGGAGATTCTGCACAAAACATTAGTTTGAAGTTGGAGTCGCTCCTTTGAAGCCGATTACAGCGGAAACAATATTGAGTGTGTTCATGACACCAATTAATCCGAAAGCATACCCAAAAGAAAATCCTGAGAGACGGCGATCACGTACAATTTGTGAAGTCACCATTCCAACGTATACTCCAGCTCCAATCAACACAAGTACCCCTAAATGAATAAACAGTATACGTGTGTTTTATGCTTAAATGTTAATACCTTTTCTAATAAAAAATATAATTTATATATCACATTTGCGAACAATTGGATAGGACTGTGATATCGAATGGATATGCGGCTTAGCCAAATGGCAAACCACATGATATCAGTCTAGTCCGGATTTAGTAATTAGATAGTAATTAATTATATAATATCGACGGAGGAACACGAACAATTTCATGATCCATCTTGCGATTTCCCGCATGCTATAGCATTTAGCAATACTTTCGCTCATAATATTCATATACGCGATTCAAACCTGTAAACTCATACAAGATAATCCGAGATGTTAGCAAGCGTCGAAACTAAATTAACCACTGAAGAGAAACTCTAGGTTGATCATTAGATTTCACATGTTCATATAATTTGGGCTCCAGGATATCCTAAAGACCACTTCGTACTTAATCGATTGAACTAGAGAAATCGCCAGAATCTATATCAGATGTTCAATTAGGGGCGAATTGAATTGGAGAAACCGAGATCAAATTTCAATGACAGATATTACACTAAGTTTTCTGAACAAACGTAATTCAACAACTTGTACAGCTTTATCGTAATTGTCTAAACACAAGTTGGTTTATTCCTAAATTCATAGATTTACTTCCCACAACGGCCACCCTGGTGTAGATTGTTTAATGTTACAAAATGGGTAGGCATACCAAACCAAATTTTGAGCCTTGTTCATCTTGGCGGCAAGCAACTCATGCCTGTCAGGACACCAAGGAATTCAGATTATTGTATCTTATTGAATTTTTACATTTCTATAGACTGAAGAAAAATAGTGATATTTTTATCCCCCTTTTGACATAAACATTTATTTAATTAAAGTATTTAGCACATGCGGGATGTTTAAATAATAATTTTATAGTTAAAATATTGGAAGCATTACTTCTAACTTGCTCATCATTTTGTCGTTTAAATTAAAATATCGTTTTCCGCAATCTAAATTTTTACCTTCAAAGCAGAGCACATTTTGAAAAAAAAATTTAATACCCACATGCAACAAGGCAGAGTGCAGCAGCAATCCGATCATAATTTCCTTTTTCCGCATATGTCATCATAGCAAGAGCCACGGCGGCAATAAGTATAAATATTGCCAAAATCAACATTGTAGCCGCCACATTCCCAGCCGTAGTTGGAACTGAAAAAATAAATCGTCTTTCAAGAAAAATTTTGCTTTCTCATTCGAAATTTGGCTGCTATGTGAATATATGTAGAAGCTAAATATGCATCCTGTAAAATCCATAACTATGGGTAAGGATGATGAGAACGTTAAATGAAAACTCAATCGTAATGATTTTTCAAAATACTTGAAAAGTTATTAGGATCATCCTGACAGGATGGGTCGACAGTATTTTGAAAAATCATGTATTTTTTGATGTATCTGAATGACCTTTTCCTTACTTACTTATCTCCGAACTTTCTATCTCTATAAATCCGATTCTGAATGCGAGCGGTCGCCCAGCAACCTAAACAATTGTTTACCAGTTCATTGATGTATGATTGACCACCGTAGATAACCAACCGAAACCAAAAAGTGGCTAGAGTAGGGTTGCCATACCGTCCGGAAAATTCCGGACATGTCCGATATTTAGGGTTAAATTTTGCGTCCGGGAGGAATTTTAAAAAATGCTCAAATGTCCGGAATTTTACTGCATCTGCAATCGTAATGTGCACACTGCTAATACAGAACATTGTTATTTCGTACCGTGCGCATATTTTTACTACGAGGTTGTATGAAATTGTAATATAACAGAGCGTTTTCCTTATCAATGGTGTTAAAGTTGCAAACTTTGCAAATGCTTTTAGTACTTGTGCAAATGGATGAAACCAATGGAAGAGTTTACTTATTTCAAATGGATAACCTTGAACGAAATACCAAGTTGGAAGGATGTAAAGCAGGGGTTGGCAACCTACGGCCCGCAGGCCGGATCCGATCCGCGGAGCAATATAATCCGGCCCGCGACGCTTCACTGGATTATAGTAACAAAACAGCTGTTTTAACGATTATATTCTTTACGTAACAGAATTAATTGTGCGACACGCGTAGGCTAAATTATGTTATAACCTAACAAGTATATAATTCACAATTGCGCGTTTAATGACCCTATAATTTAATTATAATTACACAAAAGGCAACAAAACGCAGAAAAGTTGATGCTTAGCGCAAATGGTTTAATGGTGCAGAAAATATTCAAATGGTCAGTCTTCGTGCACTGCTCTAAATTTAACTTCTAATCTGTGTGAAAAAGTGTGATTCATCGGCTATCCGTTCGGTTTTCAACATTCTTAAAATATGAGGCCCGCCAATGACTTGCAACCTTTGGTTTTGGCCCGCGAGCGACAAAAGGTTGCCGACCCCTGATGTAAAGCCTTGCCTGGAAAATCTGATTAGTAAACGGGTTGATGTGGACAATGATAAATGATTTGACCAATTCTGTAACTTGAAGCAGTTTGTGGAAAGTTACCTACAAGACGAAGAACTTATTAAACTGCCAACGCATAAGAAATGGTGCAAATATTTCGATCATTCTACGAACATCACATGCCACTCCGAAATTTTAAGGATTGAACAGTTTTTCTTTGCTATTACATCCCACAATGCCAATATTGTAGAGAGAGTCTTTTCACTGATGCAAAGTCAGTGGACTAAAGAGAGAAACAATTTGCGACTATAAAAGGCATGTTGACTCTCCAATATAATTTCAAAGATATGCACTGTAGTGAATTGTTTTCATTTTTGAAATCAGACAAGGAGAGAATGAGATCTTCAGAGAAATATGCATGGTCAGAAGAGTAAATTTGTAGTGATTGTCTTTAATTTGTTTTAAGCATGTAATTGCTGTTCTTCCGTTTTGGCACAATCTAATTCTCATTCTTATTTTTACTCTGAAGTTGAGATTTTTTCAGTCGACGGCCCGTAGCTATATTTAGAGTGTGCTTACCTGCCTGGTGTGAGATTCTGCTTGTAACTGAAGACAATACTTTTCATTTCGGTAGCTGGCGCTTTAGCATGAGTATCGTACGGCCTTAGCATTTCGGTAGCGCATATATATGGTCTCATGAAAATAGGGACCTCCTGAAAGAAGTATGTGCACCAAGATGGCGCACAACCTGAACATAGTTTTTGTGTACCGGTTAGGACTAAGGTTGTGCGACATAGTCATGCACTGTCCAGAATTTTGCTTTTTCAAATATGGTAACCCTAGGCTAGAGTCGACTCCGATCTCGATATAGGCGCGTAATTTCGACCCTGGGCCAAATTTCATTTTCTTCCGTAAAAGTTTCATGTGGCTGGTTATACATGGAGTATAAATTATGCCTTAGAATTAGTACGCGTTTTTTCTTATCCATTAAAAATAACGCTCGATTTGATGTTGCATATGACAATAGATAAAAATTTAAGCACTGCAATTGTACAGAAACACAGCTGAATGATATGATGAATTATTTTTATAATTACTATGTAATAATTGAATTTCCCCGGCTTTTATTTTATTTTTACTCTCTCTCTCAAATCGTATATGGAGATTCATATCAACCTTGCTGGTAAAGTATTGAATGACTAAGTTTCTCTTTGTGTTTATTGCTATATTTTATTGACTCGTTTCAAATCTTGGTATCGCAGACTTATGATGACTATTTCTGGTCTTTCGCGACTTTCTGTCAATTGCAATGAAAACCGTTACTGTAATGCGTACATTTTTTTCCTCTTTTGAATTTGTGTAGTGATTTCATGCACGACGAAATAACCGTATTGTCTATTCTCCATTGTATCATTATTTTAATACGCAAACAAAAAAATCTAAAAAACCATGCATATATACTTACTGAATGTTTGACATAAACTTTCATATAATTCATATCTATTATAATTAACTTTGTTGATACTATGACGGCATAACTTGTAGATGCCATATGATGTTTGATAGGTAACATCTGTGATAGTGACCCAACCAGTAGTAGCCAGAGCAATAATATCCAGAAGAACCGTGAGTGATGTTGAACATAGGAATGCAATCAAGAATTGTTTATTCATTTTATTCTGCAAACAGAAACGAGGTTATATCGTTTTATCTCAAGTTATTTTACTTTAATAATCGAAAGGGATTTTACGCCACTCAAATAACCGCATTTTTTGAACCGGTCGTAGGCTCAAGTCTGCTACTACAAAAGTTTCTTTCTTGTGCCTCTCGTTCACAAATGACTTCAAATTGAAGTCATTTGCTATACGATTAAACATTACAATTGAAGTTTTAATCCCGTTGGTAAATTCCACTCTTCATCAATTTTATTCAACGCAATGAAAATAAAACATTTTGAAACTTTTTGATTGAAACACCACGGATTACAAAATTTATACATATATATATAAATTTCAGATATATCAAACATTACATTCATCACTGTTAATTAATATTGAAAATCGTGTCTGATTGTTGCGGTGTCTTGTATTATAAATGGAAAAATATCAAATTGTGTAATGCGCTCTTGAGGTTTACAAAAAATCATTCAGTTTTCTTAGTTGCGGTTTCACTCTGCCTGGAGAGATATAGATAGTAAGAATATTATGTATATCATAAAAAACTTACCCTATAACGAACTGTGAGATTCTTGAAACTTGTTCTATGACTCTACTAAAACGTCTTGTCGTATAAATTAAATGTATGCAAATATATGATCTTCCGCACGAGTGTTAAAGTATAATCTATTTCAAATATAGCAACGACTATTTATACCCGGAACATTTGCAAATAGCTTATATTTTGATACTATACAATCAATAATTTGGGTAGGTAAATATTGCTTGTGTAGCCACGATGTGAGCGCCAAATTTGTTAAAAGGCAATAGAAATAATGTGCCAAAATCATATTAAAATTGCATAACAACGTTCAATATTTATCTATTTACGAATAGGGACGGCGGAATCGATTTATAGTGGAATCGACTAGAATCTATTTCGATGCATTGGAATCGAATGTTAGTGTTAAAACTTGGATTGCAAACAAAGTACATCGTTTCGTGACAATTCCTGCAGATATATGTACCGCTATGTGGAGTTGCTACAATGTCGCAAACTTCGCTTCATTTCTATACTCCCCTCCCACTCGCTCGCCTGCGCGGATCAAGGGCACGTGCCACATTCAGGCCATTTTGTTACCTTTTTCTTCTAATTATTGCACTGAGGCAGCGCGAGAAGCTTTTCCAAAATGAAACAAGAAATATTTCAAATATCGCAGTTGTCGTCCAAAACAACATTCGCTGCATCAGAAGGAGCATTGAGCTCAACGGGGCTTATCGACTCCAAATCCCAAGGAAACCATTTTGAACGAAATTATATTTTACAGTGCGATAGCTGTTCGGTTTGACAGTAGTTTTCTTGATTCCATATGCATATGGTATTGTTTTGGTGGGTATATTTTCTCTATAAATTATGTCAAGGAATCGAGAATCGAATAAGAATCGAATACTTACAAGTAATCCTACTCAGCATCCTTATTTATGAAACACAATCGCATGTAACTGGTATCCATATTTATGAATAGACCTCATTTTAAGTTATCAGAATTCTGTTTATTTTTCTCTAAATATAAACACCAACCAGTTAAGCATATTGCTTGTGAACTTTGCCACTGCCACATTCAGATTTTAGGTATGAAACTGGTACGATATATTGCCCCATTAATTCAAAAATTGATTTCAACCTAGTATATGTGAATGTATTGTCTGTATCGCATGATACCTGTCATCAAGAGGTATTTTTTGTGTTCATGAGTTAAAACGGAAGCTTGTGCTTGAGGGAATATTTTTTATATTATTTTTTTTTTGATATATACAAAGCAAAACATTAACTAGCCCAACTACTTTTCATAATTTTTGATTTAACGATGATTAATTAAACCATGAAAATATTTGATTGATGCATTGAATTTTAAAATCAGGTGGATATGCGCTGTTACAGCCTAACGATGCTATTTACGATTCCTATATGTGAACCATTTAACTGTCAATATTTGCCAGCAAAATAATGAATAATGCGCATAGGTAGTTTTGCTGTAAAATAAGTAAACATTTACGTAAGCAAAGCGAAGGTTTAGCAATGTTCACGACTCTGTAACATGTGAGATTTAAATATGCCACGCTTTTACGTGATTATTCTGTTATTACGGAACTGATGGCCGCATTACCTGCGTTATGCATAAACAATATATACTTTCGTTTAAAATGCAAAGTACATATTCACTGTTTTGAGTGTTAGTCATAAACAAATCTAATGTGGGATTATCTACATGGATGTTAAACAATTCGAAATTTAAAAGTGCATGCTATTATTCTCAATAATACCTTGTTGGATAAAACTATGACACGAAGAATATATCTCCAAGATAGCAGACCCTGGATTTTGTTAAAACGTATGGAAGATCTGGATATTTTTCTGACAAACCTCACATTAATCAAGTTATTCAATATTTTACACCTGAATGCAAAGATTTCTGTGATTTTCATTAAAATAGGTGGGTAGTATCTTCGAATATAGGCATCTGACAAAAATTATTCTATTCTTGCGTTCTATTCTTGAATTGTTGATTGCGAAATATATTACGTATTACCTTTACGATGCTAAATAAAAAATGCACCTAAATAGTTATATATATTACCATAGTTCATAACTCTGTTACATAGTTTTTGACATTTAAATATGCCAGGTGATACTTTTGTTATTGCGGAACTGACGGTCGCACAACCTACGTTCCAGATAGAAAATATACTTGTTATTTAAAATGCTAATTAGTCTATCACTTTCTTTCATGTTCTGGGTATAATGTTTTGGTAGGCAGGTAAATAAGTAAGCATGTTTTTATAGTAGTTAATATTTTTTGTAAACTTTTCATTTACTTCCGAAAATGTATTAATATAATGTGAGCGATTAACCTACGTTCGATCTAACAGTCACTGCCTATTATTATGAAATATAGATAGTTATGTGCAGTTAAAGATGATTAGGTATAACTAATCTAATTTTTACTTCCACTTCCACAAGCCGGGGAATATTTTTTGTGAACAGTTATTGGCGAGCAACAACACCGGGTTGCATAGAACGTATTCACGTTTCATAAAGAGACTACATGCGCTGAAGATGTTTGTATTGTGGGAGAAATTTATGAGATGTAATGATGGGTCTTGTATTTGAATCTACCTGAAAACTATGAACCTCAAAACATGAGAAAAAACAGGTATAGATGATCAATAAAACATTAGATGTTCAACTGTACTGATATATTTAATCGTATGCGTATCATATACACAACGCTAAGATGAAAAACCCTCACACAACGGAGCGTGGAAGCAAAACCTTTTACATTATTTCTCTTGATTGTCGATGTCCTAAACAACTGATGTTAATTTTTAAATATATCAAGTGCTATTTTAATGTGATAGCAATAATGTTAGTTTCACTATGATTTGTGAAGAGATTTTAGGCCTCAGATGCTAAAACTAGTCATCGATTTCGTAAAAAAAATGAAATGTTGTGCAAACTAAGATGCGAATTACCTAGACTGGAACCTTACAATGGACGTGTCCTTGCATTTGACCATTATCTTAAACAAAATCGTGATAATGTTATTATCTGTGGAGTATTTTACAAAACATAGGTTTTGATCACAGTCTCAACTCGGTGGTATTGGTATTTTATTATTTGATTAGTTTGAGAGGTTTTAGCAACTCGCAAAGTCACGAAACAATCCTATAAAGTAGTTGATAAGGTTTTTTTTCCGGGAGACTTTTTACCAGGCTTATCCATAGGACATATTTTTCTGTCCCATCCAATCTCTCAGCAATTTATGCTTATCCCATCCCATAGGATTCCCATTGGAATACAATTTAAAACAAAATTGGTAAACTTATGTTTAGCGTTCACCAAATAGGACTACGTGTACAAAGAGACATGCAAAACGATATATGAACACGAAATCCATATGAAATATTTACCATCAATTTCCTGAATATCATATGACATCCTGAACGAATCTGAACAGCCACGTTAACTCACCAGTACCTGCTGTATAAGGGTACCGGGACCGGTAAGGGTGCGAGGACCGTCCTAGCTTTTCCAGGTCCTGTGAAGATGATCTATGCTAAATAATTCAGATTTTAAAACCGTGTTGCTATGAGTAAAAAATAATGAGGCAACATTTTGGATGAAATATCAGATCTCATAGGATTCATAGAAAATTAAGAAATAAATAAATGCAATAGCCTTGTAGCGAAAAATACTACATTTAACTACTGCAACTTTCAAAGCAGTTATTCTAGAAATTGAGGAGAAAGGCGATTTTTTTACAACGATATACAGAATATAATTTTAAGCATTTCCATCAAGACTATAACTTGTTCAAACAACGAAGAATATCAAACGTGATCTCGTGATACATGCCATAGGTAGTATCGTAATGGTCAAGCATTTAAACGAGTCGTACCAGGTTGTATTGTATAATGTGTTTCTTATGAAACTCATCATTATAAATTTAGAAATATTAACTTTGTTTTCATAATTTTAATTCGAATTGGGATAAATTTCGGATTTTATTTTCTATACGTCCATTGCAGTGGTTGCAAGTTTGTAACGCCAACGAAATACAAGGATAGCTTGGTAGTCGAACGACTCCGACACTCGGACAATTCGTTCCAAACCTGAAGAGCAACCAAAATATCTGTCTGATTCTGCTGTTGCGGTCTATAGTTTGTAATCAGACTTTGTAATCATTCCAGTGCCATTCTAACTTAGTCTACAACAAGCTGAATCGGATTAATTGGAGCTGGTGATGGATTTCTCACAGCCAGACAAAAAGGACACGCATCGAAACCGAACAGAATATTATTAGCCAAATCATAAAAAGAATAGAAAGCATGAACACAAAATTCTTCATTAACACCTGGAGAAAACAGACTATGATATGAGGTAGATTGAATATACACTATCTGGAATGTGGCTCATATTTAGTATTATTTCTTCAAAATGTTTCTTGATCAGAGGGAGACCACTGGTAAATTTAGCATTGCTGATATCATGTTTGGAAAGGTAGCGAACATTTTGAAATAAGCATGTTCGTTTCACAGCTGCAAATAAAATAGAAGGTAAGATGACGCGTCCAACATGAATAAGCTTATTCGGTTATTAACGACTACCAGTTATTTTTGATAATATAACAAGTTCAACGACTAGAATACGTACCTAGTTGATGGTATACACAACCGTTTTAAACGTCTGTTTTTTTATACAAAAATCTAATGCGAGAAGACTAAACTGATATCTCAGCTATTTTATTTAAGTATCTGGAGTAAGCTCAAAAATTGAAATTACCTGCCCTTTCAAAGGGTTTAATATCTGATACCTATAGTGATAACCATATTGAATGCCGCTTTTTCAACTAAACCATTTTAAACATGCTGAACATTATGTCTATAAGCGTTAAATGCTTGATGAAAAAGAAAATCTGTTTACTATACATGTCTGAATGACATTAAGCCAATCCCGACGCATTGGTGTATTTTTCTAGAATAAGTTCGCATACAGCATAACTGTTATCGCTGGATTTAATTTGAAATTTACATGATGTCTTAATATATTCAAAATCAGTTTTTCACGCACTATTCTATTCATATATTAAAATATTATATTACATACAATAT